TCTAAACTCGATCCATTTGGATATTGTTTCATCGCTTACATTAATAAAAACATTTAGGTAATATTTAAACTTACGTAAACACACTCTAATTCTGACGGCAGACAAGATATGCAAATAGAATGGACAACCATTCACTTAGTAACACAGAATAAAGACTACAGATGATATTGACAATGCGTTTACGAAGGCCTTAGTTGCAAAGAAGTAGATAACAACGGTCATTCTCGTTGCTGTAAGCAATATGGTTTACGAAGATATAACCAGGTACTAGGCTTTTAAAGACGCCCTCTGTTAGTGCCTTACTATATATTCCATGATGGTGGTGATAGCGGGAACATATATTTCCAAAATACAGAAGTCCACGATTGCAACATTGGGAACGTACACTTTTAGCCGCAGCGTGACCGAATGTATCAATTCAATGACTCGGATGAAAAAAGGTTAGAGACTTCTCTTAATACTAAGCGTCCAATTTGACATATCAGAACGATAATTACGTTAGCAGGGAATGACAAGCATGTCCCTTATGCCGTTTTTCTCGAAGGGATTATAGCTTTTTCATCCGTTCGAGAACCGCTTAACGCAGAAATGCAGATGTCCGCGTCATATAGGACTTTAACGATATTGGAATTTATTTCCCTCTTCAGTTACAAAAGCAACGGAGAACTGTTGATGCAATTGGATTAAAATCTTGTCTGCATATAAAACTACAGTCTGACGCGAGTTTAATCTCTGGACTGTCTTATAGATACATTAACTGACCTAACTCATAATTTGTGTCGAAATTTACGAAGGATGCCAATCACTCGCAAACCGACATCATTTCATGAGTCCGATTTCTATGTTATTTAAGTGCACGTTAAAAAGAATCAAAAACCTAAAAGACATATTAAAGGCAGTGTTGCGTTGTTTAAAAATATCGACTGATTTTGAAGAGCGCAATATCCACGAAACGTCAGAAATGACTCTAATTAAACGAAGGAAATCGCTACGCCAACTTAGTCTGTTACAGGTGATCCAGCAATGTTAATTCCGATTTTATCCACACGCTCAATGGGCATCACCATGAGACAGACTGCTTAGACAATTATGATGCATGACATTATGTTTATTTAAAAAAACATTAGATTGTTATGCACTTGTGCCTCGTCTTATAAAAAATGATTTGATCTACATTAACTGAGCACTTGCTATTCTATAATTCAAAATACTGATTGCATTGGACAGAAAAAACAGGCAATGCAGGAACGTGTGTGCAGCAGTAAAAAGAAAGGATGTATCATATTGACTATCTTATTAAGAACCATGATGACGTTTCAGAAAAGTTTAATTAATAGGTCGACCGGCAGCCCTTAGTGTCGAGCAAAGGCCATATATCTTTTATTGTCATTTTCAAGACGTAAATGGTACAGTTCTATTGTAAACAATTTATGGATAAACTGTTAATTGTTGGATAATAAAGAAAGCAGCCATCACTGCACAGTGGAGCACGTAGTTCCTAGCTCCTAAAAAATATAATTTTAAGTAAAGGAAAATAGTTTTCAAAATCAACACGATTGCAAACGGAACATTGTTGGCGAAAAAAAGAATTTAGGCAAAATCAGTGGTGGAAGACCCTTTTCAAGGGGATAAATATTATCAATCAACAAAAGCTTATTATACCAAAATCACAACAAGTTTCAGCGGCTGGCTTGCACGAATTTTTGAGAGTTAGGTTGACGATATTGCAACGTCGCTAAGCACGATCAGGAAGAGTCTATAGCATTTGCGAAACTGCCACCGTCTTCATACAGGGAACAGAAAAACGGACAGACTGATACGATGTTATAGTTTACTTCACGACAGGGACATCCAGAAACGTCCTAGAAAGGGCTTAGCATTTTCATTAAAATACGAATAATTCGTGATACTTTCTTCTGAGGAGAAGAAATAAAGTCGTACATCAGACCTACGAAATTAGTAAAATCGATATTGCCTTATTCTAATAAGACAAGTAGGCCCCGAGCCCTTCCTCTGAAAAGGACGCATGTCTGACTTATTGAATCGTGGTGGGCTTATCCCTTTGCAATAGCAAGTTGAGAAAATATTATCATCAAAAAGTCACTTTCCGATCATCATCGTCCAGAAATGCAGACATTTCTGGTAATAAACATTTTTTTAAATAATGGCGCATTAACAACTGTTTAATGGTGGCCTTTAAGAAATGGCTGGAATGCATGCAACATTGTGGACAAAAATTTCGGCGGAAGCCCAACAGGCGGCCACAGTGAGAAATCCTCTCTAGGTGGGTCGGGTACAACGGGATGGCGGTTTTGAGGGGAAGAACGGGCGGGGCAAACGGCAAAGGGCACTGAATGTGCAGTTGGAAGCCGAAAAATGTTGGAAATCGCAGAAAAATAAATATTTGTTTTAATGAAGTCAAAAATAGGGGGAGGATGGCGCGCAAATAGGAAAAAGCGTAGGCAATGACCAATCGAAGGAGAGCTGACCGGGGACGTCATGTGATTGGCGGCCGGGGCGAGTAAACCTGAACCGCGAAGCGGCTAACCAATGGGATCGTTGGCGCCGCATTTGAAGGTGGTGTGCATTAGGTGGACAGAAAACGGACGATGCGCAAGGGAGACGCGAGGGGACAGCGGTGTACTGCGGTTGGGTAAGAGTATTTGAATAAACCGCCTATGACAATTGCGTCACTTCCCAGCCTCTTACTGACCCCCTCCTCAACCCCTCCCTATTTGTTATGTCGGTGATCTCCACCGCATGCACCGTTTAATACGCATAACGCAAACAATGTTTAGGATACCTGGACGTACTCCAACACCACCGCACCAACATACAGCAAGTCGGCAAACTCCCGAACTTGGCGGTCGTTGTTTTACGCGATTTGTAAGTATGCATGGGGAGAGCAGTTTGTAGGCCTACGTAACCCTTTTAAGTTTAAATGTATCCGCCGTAGCCCAAATTGGTGGACCAGGCGTCGAAGTACAGGTAGACGAGACGCTCATATGTCGCCGCAAACATAACAGGGAACGACCGCGGCGGCAGTTGTGGGTCGTAAGTATGTACAATACACGCAGGCGGAAAGTCCTATTTGAGCAGATTAACAACCGCAGCTGGGAGGCCTTGAGGCCCGTTATAAGGTAGTGTTATCGTAACCGATGAGTGGAAGGGTTACACCCGCCTACCGTCCGACGGTTATACGCACTGCACTGTCAACCACCGTAGGGGCTTCGTGAATCCCACAACGGGACGGCATACGAACGCCATAGAGGCCTACTGGAGCAGATTAAAGGAGAACCCTAATAGCAAGCGAGCTCGCCGCGAGCCGGTGTACTTGGGGGGGTATGGGGGGGGTAGTGGGTCTTTAGCCTGCTCGCGGTTTGGATTGGTTCCCGGGTCGGCTGCGCCGGCGTCGCGAAGGGCGCAAGCGGCCGCGCGTAGTTGCACTTGATTATCGATTAGCTTCGGTGCCCGATAGTCCTCTGGCTCTTGCCGGTGTCACTTTTTGCTCTCTCACGCTGCAGTGCACACGCCGTGTCTCGCTCTACGCTTACATTGCCTACCCTAACGGTCTTTGTCTTTGTGTTCCCTTGAGTCTCCTTATACTCACAGTTATGTTTACTCCTGTTAGTAGGCGTAAAATACGGCGTCAAGCCTACCTACTGGAAATGCAGCCGTTACCTACTGGCGATGGGAAAGATGGCGATTGAGGAGAGCCAACCGTCGACGATTGGAGAAGCTAACCAGCGAACGCGCAGACGGAAGACTGGACGGTATGACTGTGTACTTCGTCCACTTACTCTCCATGCCTACATACAGTGCCTGTGGCCGTTACCGGCCGGTCAAAGAGGGAGCTGTCGATTGAGGAGAGCCAACCGTCCGCGGTTGAAGAAGCTAACCAACGAACGCGCAGATGGAAGACTGGAAAGTATGAGTCTGTGTACTTCGTCCACTTACTCTCCATGCCTACCTACAGAGCCTGTGGCTGTTACCGGCCGGTCAAAGAGGGAGCTGTCGACTGTGGAGGACCAGCCATCGACGGATGGAGAAACTAATCAACGAAAGCGCAGATGGAAGACTGGAAAGTAAGACTGTGTACTTCGTCCACTTACTCTCCATGCCTACCAACAGTGCCTGTGGCCGTTACCGGCCGGTCAAAGAGGGAGCTGTCGAATGAGGAGAGCCAACCATCGACGGTTGGAGAAGCTAACCAACGAACGCGCAGACGGAACACTGGAAGGTAAGACTCTGTACTTCGTCCACTTACTCTCCATGCCTACTTGCAGTGCCTGTGGCCGTTACCGGCCGACCAATGAGGGAGCTGTCGATTGAGGAGAGCCAACCGTCCGCGATTGGAGAAGCTAACCAACGAACGCGCAGACGGAAGACTGGAAGGTAAGACTCTGCACTTCGTCCACTTACTCTCCATGCCTACTTGCAGTGCCTGTGGCCGTTACCGGCCGACCAATGAGGGAGCTGTCGATTGAGGAGAGCCAACCATCTACGATTGGAGAAGCTAACCAACGAAGGCGGAGACGCAAGACTGGAAGGTAAGACTCTGTACTTCGTCCACTTACTCTCCATGCCTACCTACAGTGCCTGTGGCCGTTACCGGTCGGTCAAAGAGGGAGCTGTCGAATGACGAGAGCCAACCATCGACGATTAGAGAAGCTAACCAGCGAACGCGCAGACGGAAGACTGGACGGTATGACGCAGTACGTCGTCCACTTACTCTCCATGCCTACCTACAGTGCCTGTGGCCGTTGCCGGCCGGTCAAAGAGAGAGCTGTCGAATGAGGAGAGCCAACCTTCGACGGTTGGAGAAGCTAACCAACGAAAGCGCAGATGGAAGACTGGAAAGTAAGACTGTGTACTTCGTCCACTTACTCTCCATGCCTACCTACAGTGCCTGTGGCCGTTACCGGCCGGTCAAAGAGGGAGCTGTCGATTGAGGAGAGCCAACCGTCCGCGGTTGGAGAAGCTAACCAACGAACGCGCAGATGGAAGACTGGAAAGTATGAGTCTGTGTACTTCGTCCACTTACTCTCAATGCCTACCTACAGTGCCTGTGGCTGTTACCGGCCGGTCAAAGAGGGAGCTGTCGACTGTGCAGGACCAGCCATCGACGGATGGAGAAACTAATCAACGAAGGCGCAGACGGAAGACTGGAAGGTAAGACTGTGTACTTCGTCCACTTACTCTCCATGCCTACCAACAGTGCCTGTGGCCGTTACCGGCCGGCCAAAGAGGGAGCTGTCGAATGAGGAGAGCCAACCATCGACTATTGGAGAAGCTAACCAACGAACGCGCAGACGGAAGACTGGAAAGTAAGACTCTGTACTTCGTCCACTTACTCTCCATGCCTACCTACAGTGCCTGTGGCCGTTACCGGCCGTTCAAAAAGGAGCTGTCGAATGAGGAGAGCCAACCATCGACGATTGTAGAAATTAACCAAAGAAGGCACAGACGAAAGACTGGAAGGTAAGACTCTGTACCTCGTCCACTTACTCTCCATGCCTACTTGCAGTGCCTGTGGCCGTTACCGGCCGACCAATGAGGGAGCTGTCGATTGAGGAGAGCCAACCGTCCGCGATTGGAGAAGCTAACCAACTAACGCGCAGACGGAAGACTGGAAGGTAAGACTCTGCACTTCGTCCACTTACTCTCCATGCCTACATGCAGTGCCTGTGGCCGTTACCGGCCGACCAAATTGGGAGCTGTCGATTGAGGAGAGTCAACCGTCGACGATTGGAGAAGCGAACCAGCGAACGCGCAGACGAAAAACAGGAAGGTAAGACTGTACTTCGTCCACTTACTCTCCATGCCTACCTACAGTGCCTGTGGCCGTTACCGGCCGGCCAAAGAGTGTGCTGTCGAATGAGGAGAGCCAACCATCGACGATTGGAGAAGCTAACCAGCGAACGCGCAGACGGAAGACTGGACGGTATGACTGTGTACTTCGTCCACTTACTCTCCATGCCTACGTACAGTGCCTGTGGCCGTTACCGGCCGGTCAAAGAGGGAGCTGTCGAATGAGGAGAGGCAACCATCGGCGATTGGAGAAGCTAACCAACGAACGCGCAGACGGAAGACTGGAAATTAAGACTGTGTACTTCGTCCACTTACTCTCCATGCCTACCTACAGTACCTGTGGCCGTTACCGGCCGGTCAAAGAGGGAGCTGTCGAATGAGGAGAGCCAATCGTCGACGCGTACCCTTTTTACTGTACACCTAACTGTTGAACGTTACTGTTGTGGCAAACCAGCTGCCCAAGGCTGTCGGGGACGATTTCCCCCACCTGGCAGAATGTCCTGTGTATTGTTCCTTTTCATAATTCGGAGTAAATATTTCATTTGCCTAAACCGTTGTTATTGATTACGGTACTTCTAAGCCTCCGGAATGAGGTAAGGTGTGCTAAGCAGTTGAATAACTGTCATCCTAAGGGCTGCGTTAGCTGATAGGTGCCTATGGATCACTAATGGGGGAATTGAACGGACGTTGTCTGTTGGAAGGGTGGCTGTCTCTAGCAGTGGTAACGTAGCCATCATCGCACGGTAATGATTGCGACTTATCGACCAACCTTGAAGGCTTGGTACGTGAACATATATACGTACGTAGAATAATGCAATGACGTCCACTAAGCCTCGTCGATAAACCCTTGTAGGTCAGGAAGGGATTGATTACGGAAGGCCTTTAGAGCGGGAACTGGGAGGTACGTAGAGACTGTCTGAGGCCGCTGCCGGCCACGGTAGACGGTAAATAGGAATCGCTGCAGCTGGTAACGGGCGACATGAACCACCCGCGGGGAAGGGCATATCAGGTCAACTAACAAAGCCGGTTGGGAGGGACAGTAGACTGTGAAGCAGGCGGAAATGGAAACAGCCGATGGAGGAATTGTGGATTGCGGTAAGCTTGCGGAAAGGGGAGCGGGACTGCGGGGATTGATATGAGGACGGCGTAGATTACAGGCCTTCGGAATGGGGGAAGGGGAAAGGCGTGGGCTAGGCGGTAAGGGAGCGGTAGAGGTGTATGTAAAAACCGCAGTGGTCTAGGAGCCCGGTGCCTGTGGTAGCAGCTACCCCAAAGTGACAGACGTATGTTTGGACGACGTAGGCTGTAAGCCTTTTAGTTTGGGGGGGGGTGGGTGTTGCAGAATATGCCCAGGGAAGGCCTGTAGGGTCAGGTATACGCGCAGAAGTTGAAGCTGGGCTGGATACTGTAGTAGACAGCTGGCGTAAATGGTAGTCTGACTGACGAAATGGGAATGCTGGCACCTCAGTTAGGTGGACTGCGGAATGCGTGGGAGGGGAGGCAAGTGGACCATGACCGGAAACCGAGAGATGATGACGAGGAACACTACGTAAACCACGAAACCGGCAAACGGGCAGTTAACAGCGCAACTGCAGTGCATGGGAACTGCCCAGAGGTGGTTTAGAATAGGAGGAGTTTGTGTGCGTAAATGCATAAAAGTGGCATTGTATATTGGACATAAATTTTAGGCAACAGAGGATGGGAACTCCACGTAAACCCTACGGTAGTCGGGTTGTTAGGTGTGTTTGAATGTTTCTTTCTGGCCGTGGAGGCCACAGGTCTTCCATTACGGCTACCTTACGTACTACTGTTTGTTCAGTAGGTGTGCTTGTGGTATTTTTTTTGCCGCGGCGGCAAAAAAATACCACAAGCACACCTACTGAACAAACAGTAGTACGTAAGGTAGCCGTAATGGAAGACCTGTGGCCGCTTATTTGGCACCGGTCAAAATTTCAAAATTAAAATGCTTCCAGAAATAGCACTTCCCGTGGGCTTATGTCTCCCGTGTTCCTGTGAGGTCGAAAATGAGCATATAAGGTGAGGAGGACATTCCACTTTATTTAAAAACTGAAAATGTCCACAAGCCTCTGTCTGCTGCCATTTTCGAAGACGTCTGTGACCAAGAAAGAAAATAATTACGACATCAACATGTAAGAAAATCATTGAAAAATGCTTGGTGGAAGAACATATTTCCGGGAGGTACATAACGGGGCACACGTTTTACGCGCCCAACGCGCATGCACTTCCGCAAAACAACGGTCTTTTTATGTCGCCTCGAAGTAGTGGCGTTTTCCCAGACAAAAGCATTTTGTAGACCATAAACCTACAAAACAGATTAAACTAAATTGGTTCTCAATTTATCTCAACGCAAAAGATTTACATAAAGATAAAGAATGACAGAAAACCGATCTACTGCATTTTTCATTGTCGAAATCCTGTTACTATAATATCATAAACACTGGCAAAAATAATTTCATTTAAAGGTAAGGCCCGTCATGGCTATTAGTATTTACAATGAATTACTGTATCTCTGTAGTGCCATCACTTGAGGTGGGCGTTGGCTACGGTAGAGGGGGCGCTTGTATCCACGTTTTGTGAAATCATAGCACTTGATTCGCTAGCTGTGTTGCCATTGCCTCAGCCGTTGCTAACATTTGGAGAAGCTCGCTGACGTCCGGTTGACAATCTAAAATGGTTCCTTGGCATTGACGCGCTGTCTCGCATCGACTTAATGTGCGTAAATGAAACTCGCAGTCGATCAGGTCTCACCTCTGTCTAAGCAGATATGTATGTGTTTACGTACCCTCTTTACCACGCGTCTCGGTGTGCGGCCACTGTTCCCCGCTCTAGAGTAACGAGTGAAAGAGTAAATGTTCACTGATCTGACCACCAACGGTAGTCTATCTTTACATACCAAACTTAGAAGTGGAGATTTTGTGATGCACACGCGTAAATTTGTCGAAAGGAGTTGTTGCTAACCATCGGTTGACTAGTGCGGTTGCTTCTTCCCCAGCACAAAGGCATTCTCGTGAACACAACATTCATTTCTGCAGTCGATTTGCTGTGCGTTTTCCAATACTTCAGTGGATAAACCTATCAGGGCAACCGTTCCCGCAAAATGTGCTCCGCGGTTGTTAGCATTCTGGTTAAATTGTTTCAGGTGAGCTGATGAGTCTCACCATAGTCGCCAATCCCTGGACTAAATTTTCTCTGGTGTTACGAGGAACAAAACTGTGTAAATTAGCGTATTGTTTCATCCAGATTTTTTTTCGGAACACTCTGCGCTTGATAGACAAATACTCTTACCTGTGCAAGAGGACATCAAGGAAATCGTTGTCTCTATCTGCCTCAGACTCTGCAGGGAACACAAAGAAGCACTGCTGCGTGCTGAAAGATCTTTGTTATCGGTGTTACCAACCGTCAATCGCAGATATCGACCGCGTAACAATCGGTATTATATTACGATCCTGTTTCCTCAAACTCGGCCATTAAAACCTTCGCAATGAGTGATCAAATCGGCGAGTCCATTGTGACAATATCCTTCTGACTGCATAGTTGGCAATCGCACAGAAACTGGATAATTGTGTGCAACGTGCCAGTGGTTTCTTGTTGTTTTCACTACAACGAATAAATAAGGGTTCGAACCATAACGAACATTAAAAACATAGTTTATTTTTTCTGGCAGAGGTGCGTTGGTAAACAGCCACATACAATTCAGTCAAAACATCTTCTTTTCGCCAACGTTAATATTCTTGATGACCTAGAACTACTCAAATGACTACTCGGAACTTCGAGAATACGAACAAATTTGCAGTTAAATAAGACTTTTAACAAGGCATTTCTCAACATTTTAATGGGGCGACTTCATAAAATCCAAAATTGTACGTAAGGACAAAGACACACATTTACGAACTAATTAAAAATCTCAAACAAGTGTTTTTGGCACTCGATATACGCGTTTATACTGCAAATAGTTTGAGCTTATGTATTTCCAAAAAAATGTGCAGTGAAAAGTTCAATAGGGAAATAAAATATCAACCAACATAACACATTTGCTTTTTGACTTCTCATTGATGTGAATGTAATCTCCTTCAAATTTATTGTTGTTCATCTGCCTATCTCGAATGCCTAAATCCCTGATTCGCATTGTCGGACATGTAATATATATATATATCAACATGAGTGAAGATTCGAGGTCCAGATAAATTATCCCGTTCATCATCCCCGAAAGAAGACGAAGAAGAAAAAGAGGCGATGCCATGGACCACACTGTATTGGTGCTGACGTTTCGGAAACTTCCTCGTTTCCATCATCAGAGTAGTGGTAGGGTGTTTGTTCCTGCTAGCTCAGAGTTGTTCTGTCTCGCCGCCTGTCTCGTGTTATAGGCATGCCTGCTACATGAACTCGGACCTGCCTGCTGGCGGGGGTTTGGCTTAGGTCTCTCCGTGGCCGACCGCTGGGGCGCTGGTGTGACCTCTGCCCCCTGCTCGGCCGCTGTTGTCGCTGCTAGGTCCGTGTGCCCTTGGGCCCTCCCCCCATAATTTGACGAGCTGATCGGCTGCCGTTGCATGTGGGAATCGGGGTCGGCTGTTTGGGCGCGTCGGTGGGTCGATATCTCGCGTCGGTCGTCTGACACCCGGCTGGATCTCTCCCCCTGCTGGGAAGGTGACAACTGTTGAGAGAGCCGCGATTTGTTCGCCAGTGCTGTCGGCCCCGTCCGAGCTGACTGGAGCCTCGTACGAAGGGCCTGGTAGGCCGGATGAAGATCAATGGCTCTGTTTATTGTGTCAACTGAGGACCAACTTTCGAGAACCAGTCTGGCCATCTTGTCGCTCGCTCGGCCGATGACGCTCGCCTCCCCAAAGGCGAAACTGTGCTTCTCCTGTTGTATGTGGCCATATACCAATGACAGCTTATCCTCGCGGTTGACTGCAAGCTGGTGCTCGTGCAATCTTGTGCAGAGGCGTTTGCCCGTTTCACCAACATACCTTGCACCGCAATCTTGGCAAGGTATGCTGTAGACCACTGCTGATTGTTCCGTTGCAGGTAGCTGGTCTTTGGACCTCATTATCTGCTGCCTGATTGTGGATTCAGGTTTATGGGCCACCCCAATCCCAAAAGAGCTCAGGATTCTTGCTGTCGCCTCAGAAACATTCCTCATGTAGGGGATTGCGAGCCAGAACTTCGGCTTCTCATCATTAGATTGTTCGCGGTTAAATCCTCTTCGGCACTCACGTATGAAGGAT